ACACATGAGGAAAGAGAGTTTGGAGAATTCAACACTCACATGACATTGATGGCAAGAGGGACAGAATGAAATAGGTGAACTAACAATCTTGTGTAAATGGATGACAGTACAGCAAGTGCAAAGAGTTGTAGAATGCCATGATTAATGACATCCTCAGGAGACACAACAGATAAGGGATTTTACAAGTAGGGATAAAGAACTGACACTTCAACAATGGCTTATTACAGACAGCTAACCAGCAACCAGCCAGAGAGACTGGTTTGAAGATTGTGCAACCAGCCAGAGAGACTGGTTTGAAGATTGTGCAACCAGCCAGAGAGACTGGTTTGAAGATTGTGCAACCAGCCAGAGAGACTGGTTTGAAGATTGTGCAACCAGCCAGAGAGACTGGTTTGAAGATTGTGCAACCAGCCAGAGAGACTGGTTTGAAGATTGTGCAACCAGCCAGAGAGACTGGTTTGAAGATTGTGCAACCAGCCAGAGAGACTGGTTTGAAGATTGTGCAACCAGCCAGAGAGACTGGTTTGAAGATTGTGCAACCAGCCAGAGAGACTGGTTTGAAGATTGTGCAACCAGCCAGAGAGACTGGTTTGAAGATTGTGCAACCAGCCAGAGAGACTGGTTTGAAGATTGTGCAACCAGCCAGAGAGACTGGTTTGAAGATTGTGCAACCAGCCAGAGAGACTGGTTTGAAGATTGTGCAACCAGCCAGAGAGACTGGTTTGAAGATTGTGCAACCAGCCAGAGAGACTGGTTTGAAGATTGTGCAACCAGCCAGAGAGACTGGTTTGAAGATTGTGCAACCTATTTGTAAAACTAATCAACACTAGAAAAAAAAAGAAATCATTAATTTTGATCCAAACTTTGTGTGGGTTGTTGAATGACAACTATTTTTTGCATAACAATAAAAAAAAATTAAAAAAATTAAAAAAAAAACAAAAAAAAACGTACAAGTAAGTTTAATCCAAACAGATCTTTCAATGATAATCTAAACTTGTATAAGCAATGTCCACCTTGAAGTTGCTGTAGAAGAGACCATCCCAAATGCTGTGGTAGCAACATAAAGAAGTCTTGTAATGAGGAATTCAAAATTACAGACTATTGTATAAACTAGACATATAATTTTATATATATATATATATATATATATATATTATGGGAACATGGCCGAGTGGTTAGAACGTTTGCATTCTAACCATAAGACCCAAGTTTGAATCTCACCATGGTTGATTTGTCAGGAAGGAGACTTCCTAATGTTATCGGAAAGGAGGGGTCCATCCCAGCGTGTGACACCTTTGGAAAGTGCCTGAAAACCATACCATGTATTGACCAGAGCCTTGTGAGTGAAATTGGGTAAAGAGAACTCTTGGCTGAAGACTTGAGCATGCTGGCCTTGTTCAAATTGTTGATCACTCTAAATAACACACTGTTTCCTGGAAACTGTAACCAAGATCTGCTCAGCATAATTGCAATACAAACCACAGGTGGGCTCTGTGGGTGTTGAATAAACTCAAATGTGCCTCAGCAAGTGTCTGCAATAGGGATTGGCTAGCCACCCTATTAGACTTGTATCCTCAAATACAAGTGGCCATATATATATATATATATATATATTACAGACTACAGTATATATTAGATATATACTAATATATAATGAGAGTTTATATGACCAGTTTTGTTATTTTTTTTCTCTTCGCAAAATAGTGTGTCATACTATATACAGGTCATTTTTTTTGAAGAGGTTAAAAATCATGCCTTTTTAGTGACTAGTTGTACTATACACAGGAAAATTTTTATTTTCTGTAGGGGTCAAATTTCATGCCAAAAAATTCAAGGGTCAATCTTATACACAAGTTCAGCTTATATACAAGTATAAGCAGTATATTAATTTCTGATATTTACTAAACACAATTGAAAGCCTAATTGGAAAGAAAATAGGATGTGACTTTTGAACTCTAATGTTACTCATCTTTATTATCACAATATTTTGACTATTTTGCCCTACAACCTTCTTCAGGTGCTTCTCGGTCCAGATAACCTTAAAAAAACACTGAACCCCCTTCATTTAATTTAGGGGGCAAGCAGATTGTTCACATTATGCTGTTCAGATCTTGTCTAACAACAATAGACTCATGAATTCAGTGGCATTGGAATTGCAAGTTCAATCCCTGGGCCATGTTGTACAGACTCAGTGAACAGAACAAGATGAGATATCTATAGACATGATCAGCAGGATACGAACAATCTAAATTCAGATTAAATTTAAATAAGATTTGCAAAATGCCCTGAAGGTTACTCATATCGTACAGAGATCGAAACAATGTGGTTACAAACACATGGATATTAGTCTAAATGTTCATACCAGAAATTTGAAACGGAAATTAGGAAGATTTCCAAGTGAGGTAGACCCTATTTGTCTGCCAAGAAAATCCATATTCAAAATCATAGCTTTTTATTTTTTATTTTTTTTATTTCACCTTAAGTGGCATTGATTTAGGAGAATTGTTATCAAAAATCAACTCACATTCAATTTTAACAACTTGACTAGGTACAACCTTCTCAATACAAGAAATGTTAATCTACATTCTTTTATGTTGGAGGACTACAGACTCTTACAATTTACAATGTCACGGCTGTAAAAACAAAGTTCTCCATGGCTAAATTGGCTACAGTTGGAGCAAGTACCATACTATCTTAAAATGTTTTAATATCTAACCTTAGAGTGAAAGTAGACACAGATTTTCCACAATCCAAGTTCAATTAATGGATCCGAGTGTAGTAAAGCAAGATATCTTTGTAGAGTGCAGAAAATAAATCCACTGATAGATGTTCATTATGACATTGTTGCATTTTTAACTGACTGAAGTTAAGCAACAGTAATTTTAATTTACAAACATTTTTCTTACATAACGGGGTAACAAATTAGCAGTATAGAAAGAATACTTACAAAAAAAAAAAAAAAAAAAAAATTATCCTGTTCTAAGAATTTAAGTAAGTGGGGTGAGGTAAAAAACAAAAAAAAACTGAATCAGTGATTATATTTGAAATATTACTCCAACATTGAAAAATAAAAGTAAAACATCTCACTACAATGGGTGAACAACATAAAAAAAAAACAAAAAAAAAAAAACAATGGATTAATTAATTAGAGTAGACTATTATTGACTGAAGTGAGGGGAGAACAGGTTTCTCTCACAGACACAAACAAACACAATCTGGCTAAAAAATAAAAACTTTTGTTTTGACAGCATAAATGAATGTCTCAAGCAACATTGTTGAACTAGTTAAGTAACTGAACCATTGGAATGATGGAACCAAAGCAAAGAGTGAAATATTTAAAATTCAATATCTGTTACTTTTTAAAAAAGATAATCCCGATTTAAAATGTCACTGCAAAATAAAAAGATAAATCACGTTTGTTACACGAGAAACAAGCGCGATTTATTTCTGGGAGGAGTTGATCAGATCATAAAAGTTTACAGACGTTTTGAAAAGAAAATTCGAACTTGAACAGAGCCTGAAATAAGTTTTTTTTGTGTAAACTAGTTTTTTAAAAATAAAAAAAGGCTTTCTCTGCGCTTGACGTTGAGTAACATAAAGTACATCGGAACTTTTCTATTATTAATTAGGAGATGAACTTTAAACATTTTGTTTGATACGCAAATTGGCATCCCAGAAAAGTTAGGAATTGGCACGGCCAAGTTTTTAATTAAAAATCAAAAACATAGATCAAAGACTTGAAGCAAGAAAATGTATTTATTCAAAATAGCACTTGTTATCAATAATTATTCATTTTTGAATGATCAAACAAATAAAAAAAACAAAAAAAAAACCTTTGCTTAAAAAAAATAACTACTACAACTTTTAAAGATTTTTTTTTATCTTTTTTTTTTAACTAAGTGACTGTTTTCTACACGAAGGTTAACATTTGTGCAATAGAGCTAGTGAGGAAATGGTGTTAGTAGAAAGATTATGTTGCGCCAACAGTGGAGTGTTGGCCTGCCAACACTGAAAAATAAAATGCTGGCAAATAAAATCCTAGTTTATTTGTTTTATCGAGTTTCAAACCCGAACTTTTAACCAGACAAGCCTCTACCTTAGATTTTTCTTCTATCATTAAAAAAAAAGAGTTTCAAAATGAGAAATGCCATAACTTAAGTCACAAATTCCTCATTAAAAGATTTTTTTTCACAAGGTGGAAATATTTTTCATAATCAGACTGAAACCAAAGAAGTGTAAATTTTCACTGAAATTTTAAAGTTTGGAATTCAGTTTTCCTTGTCTTAAAGTGGTTGCCATCAAAGACTAGAGACCCAAACCTTGCTAGAGAGTATCCCTTTTTTCAATTGCTTTACTTTACCTCATAATCTGAGCACACATTTTCCAATGAACAGGTTAAAAATGTAATTAATATGAATCACAAAACGAAAATGTGAAGCAAAAAATATTTGCATAATTATTTTCATTTTGTAAATTTATATTATTGCTTACAACGTTACAGAAGTTATTGTTTTGTTTTTAATTTTTTTTTATACAAAGAAAATAAAGTTTTCTTTATATAAGGGAGATAATATTTGGGGCGTGAGGAAAGTTTGGGGCGTTAAAATGAAATATAGCTATCCTTCACCCCAGTTTTTAAAGTTTCAAAACAAGGTCAGTTACTTTAAAACAATGTTGTAAGAATTGTTTAAAAATTGGAGAATATAAACAGGTTACCTGCACATGGTTAAGAAGTAAACTTAAGTTCATAGCTGAAATTAAACATCTGCCAAAGATAATCAATAAAAACATTCAACAAATCAATTATTTTTTTAAATAAAGCAAATTCACATTTCCTTTCAAATGTGCACTTAACTTCAATACACGAACGATTGCTTTTTTTAGGTTTATTTTTTTTTAACATCAATTTGACAAAATTTTAGTGACAGTTAAAAAGGGTAATAAAAAAAAAAAGAAAGAACCTAAAGCAAGCAAACCAAAAACTAAAAAAGATTTCTTACCTGATCAATTGGTAGGCCAATCAAATTTGAAAGAGGGGTCAATAGGGTTGACCCCATGTAAAATTCCCCTCGTCGCACCATCGTAATAATAATAATAATGGATTACGAGGAAATATAAAAGAAGTTCCCCCTTCGAAGTGAATATTTGTTGTTTGGTGTACAGCAGTAATAATAACCGCCCCGAAATCGAATAAGACAAACTCCTCTTTTTTTTGCTTTTTTTTTCCTAAATGTCGATGGATGCGATAAGATAAGGCAGAAAATAAATGTAAATTTTAATTAAGTTATAACCCTGCCCCTAGGAACCAAGTCAAAAGGTCCGGTTTCGTTCTATGTCACTTCCTTTTCTCTCTTTTTTTTTTTTTAACTTTAACCCAACTTCAAATGTAGGTATATATTGTCTATCATAGTGGAAGGTAATGAAATGACAGTGTTCTCCCCTTGTAGGACAAGTGCGTACCCTAATTGTGGGAGGGAGATCGTGGTTTTTCCCCCCTTATGAAAATTGCAAAGATAATTCACGTAACCTAAAAAAAAAATAAATAATGTCTTGCTATTTCTTGTACTGTTGATTTGTTTTTACACATCAATATCCTTCGTCAACAGCTCTTTTTACCTGAAAGATAAGTAAATCATTATTATTTAAATAAGTAAAGAAAAAAAAAAAAAGATCATAGTTTAGGAAAAATAAAAAAAAATAAAAATAAAAAATAAGTTTTGGTCGGGGGGGGAGATTTTTAGGATTTTTTAACATTTTTTTGTTTTGTTCAGGGGGGAATTAACGTCTAGAAGTTGCTTAAACAAGAAATCATTTTTGAAGTAAAAACAAAAAAAAATAACACTGGTTTTGTTGAGGATTTTAGCATAAAGTAACAGGGAAGAAAAAAAAAAAAAGAAGCTTTTGCAAAACAAAACCAAATTTATATAATTTACATTTTTTGTTTACGTAAAAAGACTCCTAAAGTAGTCAATAATAATCACTTGCGAAAAAATAAAAGTTAAATAAACACCACAAAAAAAGGTGACAACCGCTTTTTAGTAATTAATTTTTTTGTATGTTTTCAAAAAACAAGAAACTGCAAAGCTAGAGAGGACAGAGAACAAAAAAAAAAAATGAACGTTTTTTTTTTTTTTTAGAACTTAAATAGATTGTTGTTGTTTTTTTAAAGACAAATATTACAATTATTAACTAACAGTAACACACAAATGTTCCGTTTTGTTTTTTCATAGAAAGTGCACCCCCGCCCCGTTTCATATTTTACAGGACCATAAAGGAAAAAATTGTATACACCCAAACATACAGATGTTTTCATTAAAAATAAAACCAAACTATAAAAGAGTTTCTCTTAATTGAACAAAAAAAAAATACAGCAGTTCAAAGATTTTCGTTTTTGTGTAAAAAACACTTTGTTTTCGAAAAGCAAAAAGCACTTGGGCAGCAGTTGTCATTTTTAAAAATGTTATTACAACTCGTGTAATTAATATTTTACAAGTAAAGCCTCAGTTTTAGAATTCTAATAAGTTTTACTTTCATACAAGAAGGCCTTAAAATTTCTTTTTGACAATTATCAAGATGTTTGTTCTTTAGTTTTTCTAAAAATAGTGATGACTGCTACCCAAGTCCTGTTTTCCTTAAAATGGGATCTATTTTTGACACATTGAAAAAGACCGTTTGGCTGGGGTAAAAAGGTCAGGCCATTATTATTGTCAATAAATAAATGATCAATTTTATAGAAACGTTAGTAACAAGAAGGTTTGTTTTTAACAATTAGATTTAAAAAGCAAACTTTGAGCAAGCAAAAACTGTAGTAATCTTACCTTTATATTAAAAATAAGCAAGTGTTAATTTAAAAACTATGAGGCGAGTAGACGTGTTTTTGCTTTCATTCATCAATAAAACAGAATTAAAGGGAGCTTTGTTTTTAATTTTGGATGTTTAATTTGCTATGGGTAGACAAAATTTAATTTAATAAATGGTGTTGCTGCCACTGAACAATCTATTTCCTTGTTTTCTTTCTTTTTTTTTTTTCTTTCTTTTTCCACTTTGAAGGTCGGGTAGATTTCTCCAGTGGGTTGTTACCATATATCTTTTTTTTGTTTTGTTTTTAAAGTATATTCCAAAGCAGGTGGCGAGTGTGAAACCTCGGCATTTCATGGGAATATTCCACCCAACCAGAAGAGCAAGATGTTGTCTGGTTCGTCATGTTTTTTTGGCTCGTACTTTTACCCAGAAATCACTTCTTGATCGCCAGGGTCTTCTTCTTTAGTTCTCTCTCGAAGCTGTTGTGGTTGGGTGTTCTTCTTCGTTGGCTGTTGTCCGTGTTTGTTTACGACACCACCTCTCCCTAATCCCAACAGCCTAGTCATGTGGGTGGGTGCGAGCAGCTACCTCACAAAAATATAATCTTATCATCATAGCTAGTTTTTCACCATCTCTCTTTTAAACTTGCAGTAGTAATAATAACAACAATCTCTCTCTAGACTATCATACTTTCTTTTCCCTCCTCATCACTCTCCCCCTCTACCTAATTTCTTTCTCTCTAATAATAGAGAAATATACAGTGCCCGTGTCTTTATGCACCACATAACAAGTTCTTGTTATACGATTCAAATTTAATTTGGTGTGATTTAAGTATAAATTTAATTACCGTTTTTATTTCACCATTTAACAAAAAAAAAATACCTTTAAAATTACGAAACACTAAAAAAAAGTAAAAACGATGCACTTACTTTTCCTTTCGTATTTTATCCATTGATTTCGAATGTAGATTAATTAAAAAAATTAAAAGAAATTGCCAAAAATATAAACTTTCTTTTTTTTTTCCTTACCCCAGAAATAACATGAACAGTGAATAAAAGGAATTTTTTAAATAAATAAATTTATTTGACCAAACCTTATTTCTTGTTTTTGTTAGTGTTTCTTAACTCTGTATCTGAGCTTACCCAATAAAATCTATAATTGTTTTAAGAATTTATTGATTTAATAAAGAAACAATTATCCTGATAAAAAGATTTGGCTTTTTCTTGTTTAAACCCTAAAGTAAAATCTAAAAAAAAAAAGAAGGTATAAACTTCTGAGGATTGAAACCACCATCCGTCGAATCAATATTGTTGTCAAATTCTTTGCATTTAAAATTGAGGTTACCCCCCAACCATTAATTCGCTCCAATTGTGGTTCAGTTTTCTGTTTAACAGAACAGGTCGTTTAAAAATTAAGAAATAGGACAAACGAAATAATGATTGTATAAGTTTTTAGCCTATGAAACGTCTTTGATAAAAATAGACCCTTTGTCTAAAATGACCTTGGGAAGAATTAGGTTGCCGACTAAAGAATTATATCCCTACTATTAATTTTTTTAATTTTAAGAAAACCATTAACTAAAGAGATGTAGGTCTTAGTTAGAACATCCGTAAATTGATTTAAAAAAATGATTTTAAAATATATTAATTTAAAATATATCAAGTGTATATCCTTTTAATTTTCTTCCAAGTCTTAGGGCTAAAATATTTCTTTAATGGGACTGACTATATAACTTCTGAAGAATAAGTAGTTATCTCCCTTGGATTTAATAGAACTCTTCACCGTTTGTGCTCGATTTTTTCCCTTTTCTTTTTATTTTTCTTTTTAAGACGGTGCCACCTTCTTTATATCTGACGAAAAAAAGTCACCACCTCCACATGTGCGTGTATTTATTCAAAGTTTAACCCTAGTTTTTTTTTTTTTTTAAAGTTCAAAATATCAGTTGCTATATTTGACACTTCTACCGCTCAGCGTGGTATTTTTTTATGGTTGGTGTTAAATTTTAAAAGATTTATCAAACAAATAAAAATGATTAGCATGAGAATTTGTAAACAAAAATCTTTGGGAGGGACCTCGCATTTTTCTTTAACTTTTTCCTGCCTAACCTTCAAGGTTTTACAAGCAAGAAATAACTCTTTCCTCTTCTTTTTGTAATAGTTGAGTAAGACAAAAACATCCGTTCTCTTTTCCTGGGTGTGTCGATTTTGAAGGCCATATTTTGCTTGCAACTTTGATAAGTTGTTCCAGCTGTAGTAAATAACTGGTTAGCCGCTGCAAATACAAAATATCCATGCGATGATTATGTACTGGATAAATTCGGTGAATGAAAAATACCAGATATTCCCCAACTCTAAAATTAGGAAGCCACAAAGATTCGCTACAAAGGAGAATACATTATGATGAAAAAATGCCTAAAATAAAAATAAAAATCTCATTGACAAAATCTTTATGAAGAGGAAATAAAGGATATTTTTTTAGTAATTTTTTTAAAATCCTCTTTACAACCTTACAAATTTTGGTCTTTTTGTTTGTTTGTTTTTTTTTTTCGTCAACGTGTCGGAGTTAACTCCCCCTTATTGGTCACTAGGGCACGCTCTACCTACACTATAAATACTGGGCGATTTATTGCCACGTTCTGTTTTTACTTTGCATTTCAGCGGACATATGTAAAGGATGTGATCTCTCGCGGAGATCTGCGTTTTGCCCACTTGTGGGAAAACGCTATGAAATACATACACGTATGTACGAACATTCACCAAAATACAAACTTTTTACGTTCACACACAAACACAAATGTTAATGTCTATGTCCATTGTAAATTTTGTTGTTTAATACATATACAGTGTAACCCGGATATAAGAGAAACCCGGATATAAGAGAGATTTTCTCTTGTCCCAAATTAGAGCCTGTGTTAATGTATATAAAATAGACCAAACCCGGATAGAAGAGAAACCCGAATATAAGAGACTTCTTCTCCGGTCCCGACAACTCTCTTATATCCGGGTTACTTGTTTGTACACACACACACACACACACATATATATATATATATATATATATATATATATATATATCGGTCTTGTTGGTTTTCTTTACACTTCTTTATGGTGTATTCAATCACTGAGTCCGCCATGTTCTTGTAGTGGACCTTTTAATCCCATCAGGTGTTACACACGTGTTCCTAATTTAACAACGCGTAAACCCAACGGTCCGCTACAAACGCGATGCCTTAAATTTGTCATTACATTGATTTGGA